TGGGGAAGGCGGAGCGAAGGAAGATAGATGCTTTTGTACTGTGGTGTTGGAGAAAAGTTCCAAGAGTGCCTTGGACTGCCAGAAGATCCAACCAGTCCATACTTCAGGAAATAAAGCCCGACTTCTCATTAGAAGGAAGGATATTAGAGGCAAAGATGAAGTGCTTTGGTCACATAATGAAAACACAGGAAAGCTTGGAGAAGACAATTATGCTGTGGAAAATGGAAAGAAAAAGGAAGAGGGGCCGACCATGGGCAAGATGGATAGATGGTATCCTTGAAGTGACTGGCTTGACCTTGAAGGAGCTGGGGGTGGCCACGGCCGACGGAGCTCTGGCGAGGGCTGGTCCATGAGGTCACAAAGAGTCGGAAGCAAATGAATGCATGAACAACGACATGACAACTAGTAGTACATCTTCCATGAACATCTCTAACCTTCCTTTTAAAGTAGTCCCAGTTACTGACAGAGTTTACACTTTATTATAGTGAATTCTATAGTTGAATCATACACAGTGTTTTGTACTGGAGTGAAGATTGATAACTATAAGTGGAAAATATAATAAGGCAATAAAACAATGGTGATTATTCAAAGTGGTTATAAAATTTGTTATGAACCCTCCTATAAAGAAAGAAAAGTTACTCTTTAAAAATAAACAGTGCGAAAGCATGCTTCCTTTTCTCCCCTTGATCGGATAACCCTAGCTTAGTAAAGGTAAAGGCTTCCCCTGAGATTTAGTCATATCCGACTCTGGGGGATGATGCTTATCTCCATTTCTAAGCCAAAGAGCCAGTATTGTCTGTAGACACCTCCAGGGTCATGTGGCCAGCATGACTGCACAAAGTGCTGTTACCTTCTCGCCGAGGTGGTACTTATTGATCTACTCACATATGCATGTTTTCGAACTGATAGGTTGGCAGAAGCTGGGCCTAACAGTGGGAGCTCATCTCGCTTCCTGGATTCAAACCACCAAACTTTCAGTCAGCAAGTTCAGCAGCTCAGCAGTTTAACCTGCTGTGCCTCTAGGGGGCAATCCATGAGCCAAAAGTCATGACGGGGTTACAGTATTTAATAACTCCTTTATTTATTTACTTTAAATTTACAATTCCATAGAATCTGGTACATCATATGACTTTTGGCATACCCTATATAAGGGATTTTTTTTAAAAAAAGACATTTCCTCCACACCATGCACAACTTTATATTCACCTCTGTTGTGCTTGCTCCCTGTGCTCTGTATTTCCTAAGGTACAAAAACAAAACAAAACAAAAAGAACAAAAAATTGAAACTCAACAATAATTTTATTTCACAGTCAACTTAACTCATCTCCTTTATCATTTTGGTTTTACTTTTCTGAAAAGCAACATTTTATTGTAAGTAGCCTGTCTTTTCGGAAGAAGATGGTTTAATTTAATTGCAAGGTTAGGTTATATTATTGTATTGCTATGAATGGTTCTAAGGATAATGGTTCCAAATTAATATTTTGAATAAGAGGCACAGTTGGTTAAACCTCTGTTCCACGTGTGTACTTCCAAAATACATAAACTCTTAAGAAGTTTTGATGAAGATTCTAAGTGGTTTTTTTTATATCTGTATAGATTTTTTTTCTTTGGTTACTCATTTCTCCTTTCTGGAATTTCTGAAAGATGTAGTTTGACAACCTCTTTGGGACCAAATAGTGTTTTCTTACAGGTTCTCATACATCTGAAAGACCCTCCACCTATGAATTATATTGCATGTGTTTATCTAAGAAAAATAAAGTAGCAATTACATCTTGTTTATATGATTAGTGAAGGATCTGCCTTTTGAAAGTTCTGTAGAGTCTCACTTATCCAACATAAACAGGTCAGCAAAACATTAGCTAAGCGAAACTGTTGGATAATAAGGAGGAATTAAGGGAATTAAGCCTATTAAACGTCAAATTATGTTATGATTTTACAAATTAAGCACCAAAACATCATATTTTAGAACAAATAAACAGAAAAAACAGTTCAATACACAGTAACATTATGTAATAATTACTGTATTTATGAATTTAGCACCAAAACATTAAAATGTATTGAAACAGCTGTGGATCTGGGCAGGAGGCAGACTGCATTGGATAATACAGAATGTTGGATGAACGAGGGTTGGATAAGTGAGACTCTACTGTATGCTCTCAATCCTGATATCAATAACCAATGTTATAAAGCTTATAGGAAAGAAGATACCTCCATAAATGAGAAAGATAACAGAACTCATGTGGTTAGAAGACTGCACATTCAAGGCATGGATCTTTATAACCACCTCTTCCTATGAATGGCTAGCTTAGATTCTCACACGCACTTCAAATAACTAGCTAAATATTGTGTGGTGATACTAGCGTTGAACTTTTATTTTTATTTTATAGCTACCTGCCGGAGATTCCAGATGGCCTTTGAGCCATTGAACAGGGCCTTTGTTCTTTGGGGATCCTGGAGAACAGCCTGTGTCCATGTCAGCAGTACCAGTAATAGCCTTCTAATGAGAAGACTTAAAGTGACCCCTTTACTCCCAGTACAGATATATGTTCAGGCTGCAATGACACTGTTGTAATTCACATCAGCCCTCAATAATGATGCTCATCAGCCCAAGCCTGCACATCCCAGATGTTGAGATCTATTGCAGTTGACATTTTTTGAAATGCAAAAAATAACTCAGAATAACATCCTTTGGTACTAATCTTATTCTTAGTCCTGAACATAAAAGAGCCATTAAACAGTTTGAATAACCTATGTGTTGACTCACATTTTTCAGGCAGCATGATATAGTAGCTTAAACATTGGATTACATCTCTGGAGAACAGGGTTTCAATCCCTGCTTAGCTATGAAAATCCACTGGGTGACCTTGAAAAAGTCATAAACTCTCATGAGTTTATCACACTAGGCAGATATAACACAATTGCAGCAGGGTAACAGCAGTACTTATCACATGGTGTTCTTCCTCTTTTGTTGTCCTCTTTGTTGGAAAGTGTTTCTTTTACAAAAGAAGTTCAATTACAGATTATTTGTGTTTGTAAAAAAAACGACTTTCTAAATTGCCTTCCACCTGGAGAACCATAGAAGAGAAACAACTTCATGCGACAAGTGCCAGCCAAAGGCACTGTTGTCCTGCTATTATTGCGATTTGTCTGCTTTGTGCGATAAACTCCTTTGCCTCAGGAAAACCTGTTTTAGTTGCCTTTTAGGTGCCACTTTAGAGTTGCATAAGTTAGACATGACTTGAAGGCACACAATGACTACAACAATATCATGATATATTAGTGTTTAATTAAACCAATTACATTTACTCACATGTTTCTGCTCATGGCAACCTATATGTCAAGAATACTGTGTGTAGGGAAGGTTTAACACAGTAAGTGCTCTTCCCCCTTACACGTTTAGTTTGACCCTGTGTGAATCAACAGCACCACATAAACGGTGGCTTTCTTTTACATGGCGCCATGTCCTCTGAGCTCATTCACCTCCTATTCTTCCTGCAGACTCTCTCATATATACACACAGATATTAGAGACAGAAGAAAAAATAAATTGGGCAGCATTTATTCTAACAAAACATAGCACTTTGAAAGGGGAGAGGAGCAAACAAAGGGAGTAAAGTTCAAGAAGGGAACAGGGTGCAGAGATAGCAGTAGAGATTTATAATTCTACAGAGACTAAGAATAAAAAACATAAATGCACTTTCATCCCAATGCACTTTATTGCCTTGATTTAATGTTGAAGAGGGCTGACATGACCTTAAATCATCTTAGGCTTGATGCCATTAAAACGTCACATGTGCAACATTCATCTTGGTGCAGTTTTAGTGGCTCTCCAAATAGGTGCTCTTTGGGGACATTGCTTTGTTTAAAAAGCCAGAGATTAGGAGGAGGACATCACCCAGGAAAACAGCCATGAGCTGCAAACAGAGTGCTAGGGGTTGTCACAAGGGCTTTCTCTTTTTCAAAGCAGGGAGAAGTGTATTCAAAGGGGGCCACAGAAAATTGAGATGTTGCCTTTGCCATTGAGCAAGAAGCTCCAGCTTCCGAGTATGATGAATCAGACAAAACAGAAAGTTCATGTCTATATGTGTCATCCCCCCACCAATATTCCTTGCGCCCTTTCACATTATACAGTCATAATACTGTAATTCCACTTAAATTGTCATACCAGCATCTTATGGATGTCTAGGATTTCATGTCCTCCAACTGTCCCATTTTTTGCAGATACAGTCCCGATTGATCTGCTGTCCACTATTTCAGTTGCTTTTGCAATGTCCCTCCTCCCATTTTTTTTCTTTTTCCTTAGCTTATTTCACTAGTTACAAACTCATACTCTTGTTTAGAACATATTTCAAAACACACACATTAGATTGCTTCTTGCTTGCCTAGCCAGTCTCAACTCATTTAACATTAGCTTCCTTTAAACCATTACTGTAAACTTGTGTGGCACATCTTCTTTGATTACTTGTCCTTCCTTTCATTGTTTATATGTGATCATATTCCTTTTCACTTCCTCAGGTTTCCGGTGCAGCCACCCGTCTTTCTTCTTCCATGGAATAGTTTGTGATTCTACCTTTTGAGGCTCCTTCCTCATCTTCCCTATGCTGGAAGTGTTTATCTGTCATCTCTAGCCATTGGGATTCTTCCCACTATTTTCCTGAGCTTGATAGAACTGCATATTTATTAAATAGTGATACATTACATCATACCATACCATACCATATCATGCTGGCAGGGTTTTAAAACACAAGTCTGTGGCAAACCCTGTGTTTCTTCCAGGGCAAGGGTCAAATCTGGTGGCTGGAGTGGAGCTTGTGGTTCATAGTGAACTGTCCTCAGTACTCATATCCCCCCTTCCTCACTTGAATCTATCTTTCATGAACAAACATTAATAATGCAGAATATTTTTTTTCAAATGGTGACCTTGTAAGTATGCCCAAAACTTATGCTCATTTGTAATGCATTGTGTCCTTCCCATCTCCCCCTGCATTTTCACCTCTATAGCCTCAAGTCCTTCACCAGAAAGGCAGGATGCAGCTCGACCTACAAGCAAGAATCCTTTGACATGGACTGTAGATGATGTGGTTCGGTTCGTAAAAGATGCTGACCCTCATGCTTTAGGACCTCATGTGGAACTCTTCAGAAAACATGTATGTAAGGGAGTTGTCAATAACAGAATACATTTTGTCTTCAGGGAAACAGACCAAGTCAAAGAGGTGCAATTAATACATAGAATCCACTTCTGCAGGATGTGGTAAAGGCTACGGGCTAGGCAAACCTTAAAAGATTGGACACATGCTTGGAGAATAGATCTCTTTCATGGCTATGAGACACGGAAGTTCCACAGAATTTCAAAGGTCACAGAAATATACTATGACCCTGGATCTGTTGGAGCTATAGTCTAAGGACCTCATCATATGGATGTTTCCCCTGATGTACAGCCACTTCCAGTAGCCACTCATGGGAATCCATCTTGTCAGTGTGCTACAAGGGAGAGAAGTTTCTATTCTCAGGAGTTGGGTGTTAACCTGACTCCTGATTCCAGAAAGCAAGAGGAAGTGAGGGAAAGTGGGAAGAAGATGGGCAAAGGTTGTGGGATGGCTGGCCATCCCTGAAGATGGACCTTGCTAGGAGAGAACAGGGTAAAATGGTTTCCCCACACTTTCCAATGCTTAATCCACTTCCTTCCTGCCCATCTGATGAAGTCCTATGATACACAACAGCCCCCTCCCTTGGAAGGATTCTTGAAACTGCAGCTAATAGTGTACCATATAGTTTGAATATGCATGGACTAGAAACATACCATTAAATAGCATTGGAACAATCACATTCAGAAGGGAATATTTTTTTGAAGCATGGAAAAATGAAACTATGAACATTGAGTCTGTGATTAAGGGAATGTACATAACTGAATTCCAGTTAATGGAGAAAGACTGAAATGGGAGACAGGCAGCTCTTGCCTTCGTAAGCCTCCTGTGACTTTCTCTGAAGCACCATAGAGACTGCTGTGAAAAGCAGGTGCTAGGCAGCTGGATCTGTTCATTGAGTTAGCAGGGCTCTTCTTATGTTCTTAAGGCACAATCTAACATTCCTGTGTTCGATGTAATATTGGAGTCCTTGGAAATGCTGGAAGAGCTTGGAAGATATCTTTTCAAATCCAGTTCCCAGCCAACATGCCCACTTTTCCAAGCCCTGAATGGCAGATTTGGATTGAAAGGAGAGATGGACTCCCCATTTTGCCTAGAGATGCCCCAATGAACCTCCTCCTTATAAATCAGTCAGCTTCACAGAGAAACATGCAAGAGGTCTGATGCTTGATTAAAGCCATCACACAATTCAGCTCAATTATGCCTTTGAATTACTCATTTCCCTGCAATTGTTCAACCTTCATATCTAAACTGGATTAGCAGGAAGACCCCAGAGGTGAGAGACAAGTGATTACTCCATTAACCTTAGCTGTGTCTTTCCGTTAGTTAAACGATTCTAAGGAGCAGGTGCATAATTCAGTTTGAAGCCCTGAATGCCGATGACATTCCTGAGTAGCACCTGAAAGACTTGCTTTGCAGTCAAATAATTTCGCCATGACATGTCAGGATTACTGAACAAGAGGAAAACCTGGGTGCTAATCATGATAAGTTAATCTTCGCAACCCTTTTCACTATATCACTCTACAGGGAAGTTGCAATCAAATTGGCAAAGGGACAAGATCTGTTTGCTGTGTTTTTTAATGCAAATTTAACCTATTTTTCATGTTCTTGGTGAACCAAAATGCAGTTAACATATAAATTCTCGAATGTTGCAATGTTCACTTCAATAAAAAATGTATGTAATATAAATCCATATATTAGAGAAAAATGGGCACAAAATTGTTCATTGCCTCAGGAACCCCAGTGGGTCAAGAGGCAATAAATAAATGCCTTGAATAAAATGGCATTTTGTGCATATATTTCCCAATACACATATTTTTGGTGAGCAGTTTCTCCAATATAATGTGATTCTGCACCCTCTTTCCTGAAATATATGCATTTTTATTTATTTTATTCAAGGCATTTATTCACTATAGTACTGACATGGGAGTTCCCAACCACCAGCGTCTGTGTGCTCACCAGTCTAATTTTTCAGTGTGACCAACCTCACCAAAAAAGCCTCAGATGAAGAACTCAGATCTCACATAGATTCATAGGTGAGATCAACTTTCAGATGTCCTATATATGCCATCTGAAAGTTGTGCATATATTTCTCATAACGTATTTTTGGTGAGCAATTTCTCTAATATAATGTGATTCTGCACACCATTCCCTGAAATAAATGCATTTTTATTTATTTTATTTTTTAAATATGTATATTGGGAAATATATAGGCCATCTGAAAGTTGATCTCGCCTATGAATCTACATGAGATCTGAGATCTTCATCTGAGGCTTTGTGAAAGATTAGATTGGTCAGCACACAGACGCTGGTGGTTGGGAACGCCCATCTCAGTAGCATAGTGACTCTTCTTTGGTTGTTTGTAGGAGCTCCTCTTTCCTGTGGCCAGTGGGAAAAAATGGCTGCTTTAAAAATCCAGAGTAGATTTCACTCTCTCACTGGCATAGATGTTGTTGGTTTCCACTGTTCACAAGTCAGTAATAACACCTCACCTCAGTAGTAGAAGCAACTTGCAGTTTCTCAAGTTGCTCCTGGCACACACACACAAAAGTAGAACTTGCTCCAAAGGGAGGTTTGAATATCTTTGCTGAAATTCCAGTGAAAATCCAAAACAGTATAAAGTGTGGGGTTTTTTTTGTTTTAAACTTTAGATTTAAAAATGTTTTAAAATGATGATTTATAGGTCTTATGCTGTCATTTGGGGGCCTTCATGAGTAAATAAATAAAGAGAAGCGTGCATGAAATATGCCAAAACATTCATGCAAACCTTTGTTTTAAAATTTTCAAATTGATGAACTTAAACCTAGAAAAATAAGGAACTGAGTAAACCCAAGCTTGAGATATTGTGACCCAGCCCTGGAGGAGATCAACAACATGGTGTGCTTTCCTTGCCAGTTATCTGCTCTCCCTCTAGATTTTCAAAGGAGTGCAATCGCGTTTCTGGAGAGTCTAACCAAGGAAAGAGCAGGAACACAATTAGAAGGAGAGCATTGAAGAACACAAAGAAAGCTAACATATAGCAAAGCCAACCTGACATTGAGCAAAATGATCTAAAAAGCCGCTCCTTTAATTTTGATTTGTAACTGGAAAATGAATCTCGAAGGATGAGTAAAGCATTTGAGTTAAGGCCAATTAAAGCTGTTCTTTCAGAATGATATCCTGCCTGTTCCAATGATGGATATTATAACGGAAAGTGTATATTGTTTCATGGAGCCGAACCATCTTTGTATTGATTATTCTAGCTTTCTTCCAATTAGCTTACTGCCCTTTATAGTGTTCCTTGAATACCATTACTTCACTGCTGGGCAAAGTCATTCTTTAGCCCCTTGGAACAGCAGGACAGAACAAAGAAATTGGGTTGGCAGAGCCATGCTTTCGTTGCTGTTTCATTACCAGCAATATTACACTTTAAGCAGTGTGTTACACTTTAAGTAGTCACAGTGAAGCTAGCTTCTTGATTTAGTGCCTGTTTGTGTTGGTTGGTGGGCCTTTTCACAGAGCTTAACTCTAAGCTTGAAATATTAAGTTTGGCAGTCAGTGTGTTCAGGATTAGATCTTAAGAAAGCAACATGAAATATTTCCAGCTGCTGTATATTTCCCCTGTCTTTCAGCCAAGAGTGTGAGGCTCATATAGGTCATAAACCCCAGCAGCAGTTATAAACTATTGTCGAAATTATTAAGACAGATAAGATCTATAATTGGAATCCACTCTAACAGTGGAGTCCATGGTGGGTCAGTGACTGTCATGCTATTTTGCTCTCACCAAACCTTTCCTCTCAATTTCTACAATAATATACACAGCTATACTTCAGAGTACTACTTCCCCTAGTTTTGCTAGCAGTTTTGCTAGCAGTGGTAATAACTACAAAGACAAAATACACATGTGTTGCCAAACAGATGATAAATGTGCATGCATGTATTTGAAGGAAAAAACTCACAGTTCTCTAAAATGCAGAAGATCTCCAATTTGTCCCATCATAACCAGAACTACATTTATTCTGGAGGAGGGCAGAGATATCTGTCTAGAGAGAAAGTGGATGCACCCAGGCTACACAAGAGCAGTTTATCTTGTCCCCTTCTTTAATGGATTTTTACCAGGAAGTTAAAGCCTTGGGTTGTTTGAACTTGCTAGGTTACTAGGTAAATCATTTTTAATTACTCTGTCATTCAATTTCAAGCCCCAAACATTTACACTTACAGTTTTCTTTTTTAGTGTTTTGCTGTTGTGCTCATGCTATTAATTCAGTCTCTGTGTTTATGTGTCTTCAAATTGCTTGTCAGCTTAAGGAAACCTCAATGATTTTATAGTTTTTTAGGCAAAAGACACACAGGGTTGTTTTGTCCATTTCTTCCTCTGAACTGTAGCCTAAAGCACCTGGTATGGCTTGGCTATCAGGGGCTGCACCCCATCCCAATACTAACCATTCCTCACCCTGCTTAGCACCTTCAAGGTATTTAGATCAGCCTATAATTCTCTGCATGCTTTTAATTTATAACTGTTAATCTTCAGTTCAGGTGATAAAAGCTGTGATATACCCTTTTAAATTAAAAAGATGGACGAATAAATTAATATAAACAGGAAGTAAAAGCATGGAAGAACATTTCCAATGCAGCATTTTATGTAAGTCTTAATGCCAGGTTGCATTCTCAAGGGCAAAATGCTGTAACATTTGCCCTTTTAAAATATATACAGGTAGTGATTTCGGGGTTTTCCTTGATACAGCATACATCTCTTTTAAAGTGATGCAGCATGTACCAATTTCAAAGTGAGAAGTATAGTAAGATGAACATTTGAACATTTCATTACTTATGGGTATTTGGGGATAGGAAAGGACAGTTGGTTGTTGTTTTGGTTTACGTGGTCTTTTCAATGCATATTAATTTGTCATTAGACATGTTAATATATTTAAAAACAACTCAAAGTACATCTTCATTTTGGCTCATTGATGAAGAAAACTAGTTGTTTGTTTGTTGTTTTTTATGCAGTTTGGACCCAGACTTTTAAAAACCGCATCTCCGAATACAAACTAGCACAAGTGCTGCAGTCTGTGGAGGAAGCCCAGCTCTTTATCCCACCCCTGTCTCAAGTGTGGTTGGTGGGAACGAGAGAGCGGGCCTTGTCTGTGGTTGCCCCCCCCCCCCCCGTCTCTGGAATTCCCTTCCTAAAGAACTTAAAATGACCCCCCTCCTTTAAAAAGCTCTTAAAAACCTATTTATGCACCTCAGCTTATGAAGAGAAGAAGGACTAGTACATTTTTATCTGTCCTCACTTAGATATTGGATACGCACATTAGCCTGTTGGATGCCGTAAACCATTTTATGTTTTAATGCCTTCTTAGCTTAACTTGTAAATTTTATCACATGACAAATGTATGTGACATATTATTTTATATTTATTTAAGTTTAATTTTTGGTTAGTTTTATAAGATCCTCTTGATATTGTTTTATCCACTGATTTTGATTTGATTTGTTGTTTGTTTGTCTTGGCACTGAATGTTTGCCACATATTATTTGTTGGAAACTGCCCTGAGTCCCCTCAGGGAGATAGGGTGGATTATAAATAAAGCATTATTATTAGTATTATTATTATTTAAAATCAGACAATGGTTTGTTGCCAGATTTTTTATGTGCTCCTCTCCCTAATCTTGGGGAAAACATGTTGAGATTTTGTCATCAACAGTCATGTGAATCTGCACAAAATTAAATTAAATGTGCAATCCTATATGGACCAAGAAGCCAGAGTGGCATAGTGGTTTGAGAACTGGACTATGACTCTGGGGACCAGGGTTTGTATCCATGTTCAGTGGTGAAAGCCTACTGGGTGACTTTGGGCATGTCACACTTTCTCAGATTCAGGGGGAGACAAAGGCAAATCCCTTTAAACAAATCTTGGCAAGAAAACCTCATGATGAGGTTGCCATCAGTCAGAAATGACTTAAAGGCATATGACACCAGCATTAACAACAACATATGTAAGACCTACAGAGTGCCAACAAGCTTTACTCTCTGGTTAATTGGTACCAGATTCGGCTGTAATTCACATGAGCAACATGTAAGAAATAATAGTGAAATATACTAATTCCTGATGTTTTGTAACTGTTTTATAAGATTTGTGCTATTCAAGTGAGAGATAAAGTTAAAGATGTACAAATTATCATACTTTTCAAAATTCACAGTCCTCCATTTGAATAGACACCAGAAAAAATGTTGACTCCTTTTTTACCATTTCTTTAAATTGTCAGTGAAACTTAAACATATGCAGATCTGTTCTTTTGATTTTATTGCACCAATATTTTCCATCTCTTGCAATATATTTCAAAATGATAGTCCTTGCTTCTGATTTCTTCTTTCTTTTTCAATTAGGAGATTGATGGCAATGCTTTGCTATTATTGAAAAGTGACATGATCATGAAATATTTGGGCCTGAAGTTGGGACCAGCACTGAAACTCTGTTATCACATCGATAAACTGAAGCAAGCCAAGTTCTGATGTTTTTTATTATAAATACCTGACAAACCCAATGTAATTTGAGAAAGGAGATGGAAGGTAAAGTGTCGCCTTACAGAGAGCTGTCCATGTTCAAGCTGTTTCTCCTTCTTTTTTGTACTGAGAACCAGGTCTTTATACAACTGTACATTGACATCTTTTTTTAATCTGATGGAGGGGATGGTGTGGTCTGTTTTGCTGATTTGTGTTAATAATTTCTCTAAAAAGTATATAATGATAATTATTTTATATTATTGTTGTTAATATTATTATCGTTAAGTCCTATTTTTGTAATCACAAGTGTAAAATCAGAAACAAAAAAAGAACTTTAGGGAAAGTGGTTTTTTTTTAGATTTTCTGTGGACGGCTTCACATATGTATGTTTATTGCTTGATCAGTGAACATCACTGCATTGACTTTGTGAGTAACCTGCCACAGCTGCAGGGTTTTCATGCCACTACAATGTTGTTCAGTACAACTGTAAACCACCAGTTGCTAACTAGTTTGGTGATTCACATGCATTTGTGAACCAACTGAAAATCTAATTCTGCAATGCAATTACTGACATTCCTGTCACTGGTAGACCAGTTTTATTTCTCCCAATTGCTTGTAATGGCCACAGAAAATATTATGTGAATATGATTGTAGGAATGCTATTTACAGAGATGCTGCTTGAATGCACATCTACATGGAAGATCATCACAAATGTAGGCATATTCTCATGACATCCGGTTCCCGAAAGCTGTTCAGCAATTGTGCTGACGTTCGTATTTCCTACAAGTCTAAGTTAGCACCATGATGTGCTTGCAAACATAGTGATAGATGAGGAATTTTCTAGACATGTAACCCTAAAATATCCAGAGGCAGCAATATGTTTTTTCGTGTTATGGTCAACATCATTCCTCTGGTTGAAAGCAAATGTGAAAATGCCATGTAGAGGATAATCAAATGGCTACGGATCTCCATTCAGCAGTTGCCCACACAAGCTGGATTCCGCTGGAAAACCACCACCAAATATCTAGAATCTCGATATTTCACTCTGTGATGTTTGAACTTGTTATGGGGCACATTTTAGTGTCAAATCACTGGAACAAGAGGTTGGCTTAGTAGTGCTAGTAACTCTTTGTGATTGCCACTAATGTTTCCCAAAGCCCTCTGGTAACTGCAGAGAAAGACTGAAAGAACTCTCATTTCCCACAGAAAGGAACTAGAGGTCACCTGTTCTGCAGAGCTTTGGGGCTTCCCTAAATGTGGCTCTGCTCCAAAGCTTAGTGTAACACAAGAGTTCTCCTTCACTATTTCTCTGAAATCTGAGATGAGCTTGGAGGAGCAGGTGGAGGATTATGGCCTGGGCAAGTGCCATCAGCAGGGACAGGTTGGTAGTGTATGTAATGAGCAGTGCTCAAAATGAAACCTATGTTATTAACATTCTTCATGTAGCCATATTTCTGATTCATTAAGTGACTTAGGTGAGACTACTATTTGATTAAGCCTATACTGGTGTACATATTTGACCTTAGTACAATGACAGTGGAATTGAGAGAAAGCAACCAAGAGGCCTAGAAGTGTTTCCAGTAAACTTTATTGCTCTGTCATATGGGGAAATATGTTGTTGTGTGCCTTCAAGATATTTCTGACTTATGACCATCCTAAGGGAACATAATCATGGATATTTCTTGGCATAATTTGTTCAGGATGTGTGTGCCATTGTCACCCACAGAGACTGAGAGACACGATTTGCTCAAGGTCACCTGTTAAGTTTCTATGATTGAGTAAAGATTTGAACCCTTATTTATCTATGCTTGTTCCGTGCTCAAACTGCTATACAACACTGGCTTTGGGGAAACATGTCCATGATTTGCTCTGTCTAGAAAATATGGACTTTTCCCCAAGGAAATAAGAAGTGGGGATTTCTGAAAACTCAAGGATCTTGTTTTCTCCATTTGAGGGACTGATAAACACCATACTTGAGCTGTGAGGAAATTGTTGTTTTCTAAAGAGCAGCTTTCTCTTGAGTGATATTTCACTTGCAATCAAACATAGAATTGCTGCTTCTACTCTAATCAACTTTTCCTGATTCTCAAAGAGTGCAATCTGCTCTCCAGTGCCACAAAAACATTCTTAGGAAAAATCACCACAACTGATAACAAGTCCTGTTCCCACAAGTTGTGGGTAAAGTGCAGACAAAATTGGGAAAACATATATTGACTAGCCATCTCCTTCTTATTTTGGTCCTGTGTAATGTGTTTCTGAAAAAGTGGGATGAGAGAGAAAACAGTATGTTCTAGGAAGAAAAACAGGAAGAAAAAAATAAGTATTAGAGCTCCAGAATGTCACCACATCTAGAAGAAACATAGATTGTTTCTAGGTTTAATCTTCCAGCTGTGGTTGCACCCACAGAATTTTTTGTCAAATGTTTTAGTATAAAATGGAAGTGCATAGCCCTTGTTATTCCACTTAGCAGTGAGTCAGGTTTTTGCATCTAGTACTGCTGCGGTTGGAGGAGAATGACAGGCAGAATTTCAAGTAAAATATTTGGGGAGGTGTATTCCCCTCCCCCCCTTGTATTGAAATATGTATCCAGTTAATCACTTTTTTAAAAAAAACTCTATTATTCCTGTCAAGAACTAAAGAACATATTCCTAATTGTAACTTCACATTCTTTTTGTGTAAGTTAGTGTGATGCCAAAAGTCTTGAAAATGTTTTGGTGTACAGTTGTAGAATGAATGAAACCTAGATATGTATGTACACTTGAATTCCTATGCTGATTATGCATCACTATCAACCCATAGCATCAACCCATAAACCCATACATCATTATGGGTCTTCTTAACTTTCTTCTGGCCTCTCTAACGGAGAGGGAAACAGAATACTTGTGGCATGCTCCAAATGACAGATGTCTACACAATAACTTGTGTACCGAGATCTACAATGTGGGACTCTGCTAGCATGAATTCTCCATGTGGGCTTCTTCATGGAAAGGAGCAATTGCCAAGGAGAAACCTCTTACAACATGTTGAGCAGTTCTTTAGATGCCTTATGGTATTATGTATCATTGTTTTCTACACAGAAAAAGGGAGTTGTTGACTATTTCTTCTGGGTAAAATTTGCACGAGGTTGATTTCCATAGAAAATAGCATTTCTGTACAGGAATTAATATTTCTGCACTGAAATAATCTTTTCATTGCAGAACTTGCTGTTTATTGTTCGGAAAATACGGTTCTCTGTACAAATCTTCTACATGCAAGTTTCGACACAAAATAAGTCCTGAATTGTGACTAACCCTTGAAAATCCCATGTTTTTCAAAAACTTTCTCAGAACATCAAGAAATTTTTTGAAATTATTTCTTGCTTCCTTTGAGAAGAAATTTAGTAAAGAAATACACCATTGATTTTTCTACAGTTATATACAATTGCTGCTTTTAAGCCAGGTTACCTGTGCAACAACGGTGCTATATCTTCTGAGTCTCCTCATGTTTGATTGTATATACAATTTAATATAGCTGTAATGTTGTGCTTTGGAAATTATATGACAATCTTGCCTTCTACAAAGTCTTCAATATAGAATTGTCCTCCTGGTGGGAGTTTTCTGTCTTTTCTTAAGGAAAGCAGGAAATCTTTGCATTTCTCTCAAATTCTGTATGCAATACATCTTATGTACCCTGACTATCTCATTGTAATAATGATATGTATCACCAGCCATGTGATTTTCAAAGCATAAACATTTCTCTTGTGTGATTAAGGCAAAATTTCAATAGCGCTTTTTTTAAAAAAAAATCTTAAGATTACCATTTAATGTTTAGTCATTGTTTTAGAATCTGAATTTTCCTTAATTCCTAAAGAAATCCATTTTAATAATTTCCTATCCTTTTAAAATATTTTCCAACCAAATTAATATAGAAATTTGTGGCACATTAAAGGCTAATTCATTGATAACACCTCTCACTCCCATGAAAGGTCATGCTACCACAAATTCCTTACATTTTGCTCTTTTCCAGCCTATGGGTCAAGGCTTACAGCAGTCCTAAAATTTGTCCTCTTCTTTATTAATTATGATTATCCTCATTGTTTTTCTTTCCCCAGAGGCTGTTTGCTCCATGGTCCTAATAGCCACATTAAGCTATACTATAGATGCAATCATATGCATACTTACTCTTGAGTAAATAAATATCATTGTGCACAGTGGGGTTATTTCTGAACAAACATGCACAGGATTGTATTGAGATGGACCAAGGGCATGGAATGACTATCTCTACAATCATATATGGTATTGCTGTTTGGAATTGATGGCAGCTAGTTTGTAACGGCACATGCAAGAATTATACCATAAAGATAGTGTGTCTTAAGCCATTAGCCATTGGGAACAGAGAGGGCATGAGAAATGGAAGGTTATGGCAGTACAATAAATTCAGGTCAATCTAATCTCATTGGATTAAATGCCTGAGCATAGCACAAGACCATCAAGTAATACTTTGAGTTGTATCCAGATGTTAAATCAGTATCTTACTGATTTCAGTGGGACTTACTGTACCTTACTCCTGGTTACTAACTGAAGCTCCATTTATTTTAGTGGGTCTGTTGCAGAGTTTGGATTTTTAAAAACTATAGTTCCCAGAAACCCACTGCCAGCAAAAACAATGACTATGCTGGCTGAGGATTGTGAGAGTTGTACTGTAAACGATAATTTTTCTGATCTGTGAACTATTCTAAGTTGGACTGTAGATACTGTTAATGCTGGATGGAGAATTATAGGTCCAAAATGGAAACTTTTCCCAAGCCTAGTCTTTTCTAAGTATGACTAAGTTTGCAAGTGAGATCACAATAGCGTTATAGAACAGAGGCTTTTGTTTCCCTATTGCCCGGTTTGCTCCTGCAGAATTCTGGGAAATGTAGTTCAGAATCCTTCCCTAAACTATATTTCCTAGAATTCTGCAGGAGCAAACCAGGTGATAGCAAAGCGGGCACCTCTGCTTTATAATGCAAATGTGATATTGTTCTGCATCTCACTCAAAGTGTTTGAAGATGGTCAGCTATTTTCTTATATGCAGATACTTTGAAATATTCTCTTCTTTGCATTTTGGTGTTGGAATTGCACTGTTACAGTCATCATGATGATGATGATAATGATAGGTATATTATAATGATGATGATCATCATCATTCTACTATGATGACACTATCACAGAGTTTTCTTGGCAAGAGTTATGCCATCTCCTTCCCCTAAGGCTGAGATAGTGTGCAAGGTAACCTAAGAGGTTTCCATGGCTGAACAGTGATTGAACTCTGGCCTCACAAAATCCTATTCCAACAATCAAATCACTATAGCACTCTAGGTTGCTCTCCTGAAATGAACAGCGTAGACATGCTAAGAAGATAAGCATCATGACCACCCACCACCTATTACTGTAGATCGGTGGTTCCCAACCTTTGGTAATGCAGGTGTTTTGGACTTCAGTTCCCACAAGTCCTAACTGCTGGTAAACTGGCTTGGATTTCTGGGAGTTGAAATCCAAAACAACTGGAAGACCAAAGGTTGGGAACCACTGCTATAGATGGATGAATTGTTACTGTGGATCCCAACAAAATAAAACTACACTCCACATCAGTGTATTGAAGGCAGAGATGAAGCGAATCATTTTGATCTATATGTGCAAAAAGGGTGATTAAAGTGTGTTTAGAGGTGGTGAGTGCTTTTTAATGATCTAGAGTAAGAACCCACTTATGGTCATCAAAATCTTATTTTTCTCTCTTGCTTTCCTTTTAATATCCCCTCTACTCACCAAACCAACATGCACTCAAGAGTAATTGAAAATAAAAACAAAGATCTCTTGAGCTATAAAATATTTTATAATCACTGCAATTTTCCAAAAATTCACAACATAAATGTATTTAATGATGCCATTTGCAATATTTGGTGATCAGAGAGAAGATGACATGATCCTAATGTTGGGGAGGATAAGAAAAGCATTAATTTTAATGAATTTTATTGTAATCAGGCTCACTTTGTTGTACATTTATCACAATTTTCCCAGCTCCTTGCTAGCCTTCTAAAAGGCATTTGTTAAACTGCTGTGGTGTTTTAAAAACATGTCAGACCATTTCTTATGAATGGATGCTGAAGAGTCAGAAGTTCCCAGCCATTAATTTCCACACCGGGTCCTATTTCAGACATGGCTTCTATAAATTACATTTCTTGTTAGGCTATCTCTTCACATACACTTGAGATAACAGCCAATCAAGTTACATTTTGGAAAATGGATATGCCCTCCAATGCAATTATATGTGCCTGTTTTCTTTTATGAAAAAGCTAGGCAAGATCAAAAGCTGTTGCTTGGAGCAAAATTTTGAATGTTGTGAACCTTCTGTTTCCTATAAAATTCAAGATCAAAGTCTGGAGGGAAGGTGATGGTACACTGTAATATCTGTAATACTGTAGCTCAAACAGAGATTCGTTTTACTGAGCCGCCTGGGCTATTCATCTTTGTTCTCTTTAATATAGGGATGGGTCACTGGTAAATGGATGTCCACAGCTGGTTTTCTAATCCAAATTTTCAGGGATTAACAATGAATTAGTGGTGAAGTCGGTTAAACCCTTGTGCCGGCAGGACTGACAGGTGGTAGGTTCAAATCTGGGAAGAGTGTGGATGAGCTCCCTCTGTCAGCTCCAGCTCCCCATGCGGGGACATGAGAGAAGCCTCTCACAAGGATGGTAAAACATCAGAACATCCAGGAGTCCTCTGGGCAACATCCTAGCAGATGGCCAATTCACTCACACCAGAAGTGACTTGCAGTTTCTCAAGTCACTTCTGACACGATGCAAATTAAGATTTGTGGTAACTGAATCCTGCCACCCATAATCAAAAAGCTTTCATAACTTTTTTGATTTTGTGAAATCTTTGAACCCAATGGATGATTTTTATATGTGAGACAGTCTACCCCATCTCCTTTTATTATTCTTAATTTTCTAGATGCGCCCAGAATTCAACTCAACCCTTTTAAGCAATTCAGACTGTGACTCTAGTTTTACCCTTAAAAGAGAGTAAATCCCATTATACTTAATGGGGGATATTTTGACAGAACAGCCCTTGTTTGGAGCAGCTTCATTCTAGGCCAGTGGTTCTCAACCTGTAGGTCTCCAGATGTTTTGGCCTTCAACTCTCAGAAATCCTAACAGCTGGTAAACTGGGATTTCTGGGAGTTGTAGGCCAAAACACTTGGGGACCCACAAGTTGAGAATCACTGTTCTAGGCCATGTGAGCCTTATAGCAGCAGCAGTAAGAACAAAGCTGAGTTTCCTGAGGAAAGTAGGATTGAATGGGATGATACATTCAACACATGTTTAGAAGAGCTTCTTCCTGAAATGATGAAATACATTCGTTTGTCAGAGGAAATTATTGTCCCTAACTGTGTATCTTGCATTTAGGTTGTTTTTGGTGTTGTGTATCTGGTCATTGAAAAGTAAACACAGGATTAATTTGGAAGTCTGTTTGCTGAGACACACAACTCAATGGAAACACCATTAAGAAAAGAAAAGGCATGCCAATTGAAGGGAATATTAATCTCCCTCCATTTTTATTTTGACCATTAGAATCTTGTTCTTTAATAGGAAACCCTTCAGAACTCATGAAAAGTGAATCATTCATCTCTTCTGGTGCAGATTAATCTACATTCTCTGCATCTCAGAGACAGCAAAAGCCCAGGTTTTTCAAAAATCAATTAGATATGTGCTATGCCCTTTAGGATTGATGGAGGTAAATTTGATTTTTAAGTCCTAGTTCTTTGTAAATGCATAATGTTTACAGGTTTAAAAATATTAATTTTAATAAATTAGATATTTATTATGACACTGTTTAGATAATTTTTTTTAAAAAGACCCACACTGTCCTTCAACACAACATAAGATCTAGTGTAACTGGCAACAAGACCAAGAGTGATTTGCAGCAAGAGAAATTGTGCAGGTGCTCCAGATTGGATAGCCAGCCTTCATACAACTGGGAGATCACATTTTACCTTTAAAACAACACTTAAGCAGTGGTTCACAGCCTTTTTTTTGACGAGGGACCACTTCACCAGGGACCAGTTTGACCAGGGACCACTTTCCAACATTAGTACCAAAAGAGTTATGAATCAGTTTTTGGACAACTTTAGATTTAGTTTGGTTATTTGGGGTGCTGATTTAGAAAATTGCACTGGATAGACCACATCAGCTCTACTTTATGATACAGAATGTATCCCATCCAGTAGTCGTCATCTGCTCACCCACAGAAAACCATATTTAATAAGCCTCGGCACTATAAGAGAGTTTCGCTAGACCAGTCACTCTCATTGCAACGGTATCGTAACCGTGAGGCCACAGACCATATTTTAGTTCTTGTGGACCGCTGGTGGTCCACGGACCACAGGTTGGGAACCCTTGGCTTCAAGGAATGTATGAAGGTTTGCCAGAATTTAGAACATGAACACAAATGTTGTGTTTTTGTAAAAAAAAAAAAAGCATGCTGAAAAGTCAAATATGGCAACAGAAATAGTAAACTGTTCACAAGATATAGATTAATAAGCCATCATGTGTGTTTTTTGGGAGGGGGGTGAAAATGTTGAAACTCACAGCATAGGCAATCTTTGATTCCTTCCAGAGATCTTATGCCACTATTTAGACTGATTCATTCATGGTCAATTAGAAACCGATTCCTTTTGGAACGCTTATATTTTTGACTGGAAAAGGCCCTTACATTTGCACATTGACATAAGTTAAATATTATGGAAACCAGGCTGCCTGCAATTTGCTCTGTCGGACTAATGCTAACAGGCAACAGCTGTGGGGCTTCCTCTTACAAGTTTTCTTGTGGCCACCGCAGTGTTCTCACACATGTTCTGGGAAACCATGAATGCTGTACGCTCCCCCTTTCCTCCCTTTGACTCTATAGGAATCCCACAAATGCATTCATCTCCAAATCAGATTTATTAAAAGTTGAATGTTTTAAGGATGAGTGCTTTCCCCCGTTCTATTATCGTAACAAAATAGCTGATCAGAAATTCCAATTGACTTTATATGCCAGAGGCAAAATAGTTGTCAATAGATCAATCTGTGGCTACAAGTTACGTATTCATAATTGCTTTCTTCATTTTCTTCCTCAATACCAATATGCAGTTTCACTCCCCTGTATGCAAAAACAGCAAGTTCAATGTGGACAGAGGTAAATTACTTCTTACATAGTGTCTGAAAAGCCTGTTCAAGTTTGCTGCCTTCGACAGATGAAATGAGCAAAATTATCTAACCTAAACATACAAATTTACACAATCCAATTATAAAGTTGAAGAGAACACAAGGGACATCAAGTCCAACTCTACCATTTCCTGGTTCATCCTTTTGCGATGGACATAACCAAAAAAGCCTTTTTTATTGTATTTAACCTCTCAAACAAACCTGAGCTCGTTCTGTGCTTTGGCTTTTCTAACTCTATCCATACGTATGCTGTGTATTCATTGGAATTATGCTTCAGTAATTTCTTCTTTTTTTCCATTTCTTCTTCATGTCCTTTATAAATCTTAGCTCAGATGAAATTACCTTAGAAGAAAAAAACTCCATTCTGGTTTTTTTCTCTTTTTTAAAAAATGGGGAAAATGTTTAATTCTGAGAGACAACGCTAGAGAAATAGTCGTAAGTAATTAAGAGATACTGATATTTATGAAGAAAAGTCTAATGAAGTCAACCAGTCTCTCTACTGATGAGGCATTGAGAATGAGCTCTGTTAGAAAGAGAATTAATTATATGTTAGTTTACTGGAAGTATTTACTGTCAATTTGTATATTTGAAATGTAAATAAATGAGATTTCTTTTATAATAGAGATGTGTCGTAATAGTGGGACTAAGGCCCCAAAAGGCTAAAATATTTGTGACTAATTGTAAAATGTGTATAATCTTGGAATAAAATATCTGATAACTTCTAGTTACGTGTGCAATTCTGCTGGAAAAGTCAATTCCAGGTTCTCTATGCGGTTTGATTAGATTTGCTCATTGTCCCCACATGCATAGATTTCTTTCTCTAGAAGGCTGATTTCTTTCTAAAAATAGACAAATCTAGCCACTTTAAAAGAACTCAAGCCACCATGCAAAAGATATCTATCATTTCCCCATAGTATCCCCCGGTAGTCTCTCTCACAATATCTGCTTTGAACTGAAATATCTCAGTCCACACTGTCATATATCCCAGTTCAAAGAAGATAATGTGGGATTTTCTGCCTTGATATTCTGGTTTATACGGCTGTGTGGAAGGGCCCTTAGTTTCTCTTAATGTTGTCATGACACACAACACTTCCTCTATGTCGCTAGAGGCAGCCTTCACGTCAACATGCAAAAAGCATTTCATTTCATCTGTCTTTGGTTAAGAATCTTTTCAGATATTACCAAATTGGGTGGAGGAAGACAAGTGATATAAAATGAAAATGACCTAGCCATCATTCCAATGCCTGACATTCAGCTTTGGTATCTCGTTTTAACTTCAAGAGGCTCTACCAGTATTAATAGATTTGAAGGATATATCATTTGATTTTTCAGTTTCTAGTTGCCTCAATTCTGCAATATTTATCTTTGGGAATAGTAAACGGCTTGTATCCATGTAGTAGAGTTGGCATCCAAATGTTAATTTCCCTGTGTTATGCTTCATATACTTCCCTGACATTGTACTAAACGAACATACGTGATATCTTGGGCACTGGTGTCTTCAGAGTCATGCAACAATCCTACAATATGGTCAGACACATCCCTTGAAATTCAATGTAAAGGTATAGGTACATATTTAAAGCTGTACTTTCAACCACAGAAGATCTTTCTGTTCACTCATGGAAGGTGTCCCTTCTGTGAATGAATGACAAACTTGACGAGACAATAAGGAGACCATTAATTTACACTTGATACTGGTTCTCTTGGATCTTATTTAACAAGAATCATTGCTTTCTTTGGGTTGAATATCTCTGAGCATTTAAGCAAGCATTAGAAGGTTACAGACCTGTGTCTTTTTCATTGTAAGTGTGCTCCTGTTCCGCAATTGGTCAGTCATTAAAGATAATTAACGATAGCATTAAAATATGGCACCAACTGATCGTAACACGGAGCCAGTTTTCTTCTCCTTAGAGGTGAGTGGGAGGCACCTTAATCCTTCATTGTAATCTTAGATAATAAAAACATCCAAGAAGAACCATCATCACTTTTCACACAACTGTTTGTTCTATTCCATTGAATATTTCTTTTTGTATTCCTGTTATAAATATGCAGATGGATGATAGCTGGGAGCTAGAAAGTGTTTACCTGCTCCAAGAGGTGAAACGAACATTGAGATAAAATGTCTGGAAAACTAGAATCAGCAGTGACAATGATGTATGAGCAGCTGGACCACTAGTTCAATACCCTTTGAGACAGTATCTAAGGGTCAGTTCGATATCCTACTTAGCAGCCACAGAAAAGCTCCTGTCGTTTTTCCACTTTTGAAGGAGACCTATTCCCCTCAGCAAGTGTGCAGTGATAACTACCTTTTGACTACAACTCCCAGAATCCTGAGCCATACTAATTGAAAAATGCTGACCATGCCCACTGGTGGATTCTGGGAGGGCGTTGTCATTCCAAAAAAGGAGCATTTCCCAATTCCGATTCGACTGAACATCAAAAGTTAAAGAAAGGGGTTTCAATGCTTGACTTGGGTTGCTCAAGGAAGGCAAATTCATTTTCAGGCTGAGCAGACCCTGTTCTCCCGTGTCTAATGGAATCCACTACCGTGGCTGATAGAACAGTGGCCAAAGAGCAGCCCTTTCAATACGGGGAGCCAGTCAGCTCCCTTCTTTAATATGAATCCTTCAGAATAGGTATTTAGTAAAGCTGAAATTGGTTATTTCATTCCCAGTGACCAGCTATCTAATATATTTAGGGAGCAAAAGAATATGAGCAATATTCTTAGTGCACCACCATGACCGATTTCAATGTGCACAGTGTCTCTGTGTGATTATACATACTGTTTTTTACTTGGCATACACATACCTCTTTGTAAATATTCTTATAAATATCAACTACAGATAAATACAAGTGAATAAAAACCTTACGTTCGGCATGATCTGTATGAGTGAACTGGTTGTACTTATTTTTTAACCATGTGCTGTGTTTTAAAATACACATATTACGGTATACTAAAACAGCATTATGAAGAAATGTGTTTTTTACTTCAGAGAAAGCCTTATGATTCTTATTTGTAATTTATTCCTTCACTTGTATCCTCTGTCACTCTTTATACGCATGTTTTTAATGTGTAAGTGTATATTAACTGTTCTATGTGATGGGTGCTGCTGTTTTGCATCTAAATTAAGATGAGTACAGTATTACGGGCCTTAATGATGATGAATTTGTCTCAGATTAAGTTTTGTTTGGTTTGAGTATTTGAAGCTGTAGATTTAAGATGCCATGTGCTGAGAGTATCTTTTTCATAACTCAAAAAAGAACGTACTCTCCCACATTTATGATCTTTCATCAAAGCCAGTGCTTTCTTTTACTACTGCCAAATTAATTCTGTATTTTTAATAATGAATGACATTGGTTTTATGTATGTTTTAATAAATGGTCTAATAAACTGTATTTTAAGTAAATGGTTACTGTAAATTCCTGTACATATAGATAGATATATATGCTCTTGCCTCCCCCCCTCGCCCCTCACCCTTCTCTTTCTTGCTCTGTATGTGTTTGTCATATATACAAACATAGAAGTTTAAATAAGTCATTTGGATGGGCAAATATTGCCACAAAATTGCATTCTTCAATATGTTTACCCGGTAAAACGTGAGATAAATAATACTAATGTCCACTGAAAGACTGAACTTGGGAGAATTTAGT